TAAAGATATCTATTAAATCATTTTATTCATTCAACAAGAATTAAATCAGCTGGATATGGTAATGCACACCTGTAATCCCAGTGCTTGGGAGGCTGAGGCAAGAGAGTTCAAGGCCAACCTGGGCTACATAGTGAGTTCAAGGCCAGTCTGAACTACAGTACATAGTCTACAGCAATACCACCCTGAATGCACCCGACCTCATTTGAACTATAGTACATAGCAAGACCCTGTCTCAAAAAACAAGCAAAAAAAAAAAAAAAAAAAAAAAAAAAAAAAAAATTAAGTCTTGTGCTAGCCAGACATGGTGATGCATGCCTGTAATCCTATCCCTGGAGCTCAGCTTGAGCAATGTAGCCACTTAGTAAGATATTATCTCAAGAATTAAAAAGGAAAAAGGCTGGAGATGTAGCTCAGTGCGAAGGCCTTGGGTTCAATTCCCACTGCAGGGGAACAAAATAATTAAGTCCTGTGCTAAATAGCGGGACTAAGTTAATGACAAAAATAAATATAACCCCTGACCTCACAAGGCCTACACCCTAGTGAGGGAGAAGAGATTGACTGGTTACTGAAAGACAGTGAATGCGGCCAGAGCTACAAAGCTGGTATCAGACTGGACATGGTTGAATGCGCCCTCATCTGCAAGGGGCTGGTCAGGGTCGGTATCTTGGTCTTAAATCCTGAGACCTGCAGACAGATGGGGGTAACTAGGCAACTAAGGAAGGGGAGAGTCTGAGTGCAAGGGGACAGCAAGCGCCAGAACCTAAAGCAAGCGGCGGCTTGGCTTGCACAAAGGATAGTGAGGAGTAAAGAGGGACATAGGACGAGTTTGAGAAGTAGCAAAAGCACTTTGCACCTCCCCCCATGCCTGGGTGAGCACTAGAAGTGCCTGTGACCGACTAATCACTGGGGGGAGCCAAACATCAGTGCCTTTGAACAGATGAATAAATAAACAAACATCCACAGCCATCCAACAAGGGAGACAAAAGGAGGCGACTACTGACACAGGCAACAAATTAGATGCATCTCAGACATTATATTGATGTGACCGACTAATCACTGGGGGGAGCCAAACATCAGTGCCTTTGAACAGATGAATAAATAAACATCCACAGCCATCCAACAAGGGAGACAAAAGGAGGCAACTACTGACACAGGCAACAAATTAGATGCACCTCAGACATTATATTGAGTGGAAGAAGCCGGCTTCCAAGACCACATGCAGTGCGATTCCATGTATTTGACATTCTCAGTGGGACAGAATCAGTGACAAAAATCAGTGGTTGTAGGTGTTAAGGGTGGGATGAGGGTGTGATTATAAAAGGTATTTCTTGGTCTGATGAAACTGTTCTTATTTTGATTGTAATGGGAGATTGAGCAAATCTATACCTGTGTTAAAATTCACAGAACTGTGCACTGAAGGGAAAGTTGTTTTTTTTTTTTTAATTGCATGATCATTTTAAAAAATAAAATAAAACAGAACTCAAGTAATCACTCCCCAGGTGAGCTCGTGGTGCAACCAAGGGAAGACATGATGTTAAGCCTTGCAGAGCATTTGAAGGAATCTGTTGTCCTCAAGCAGTGGGGAGCAGGGATGGGGTTCCCCTGAGATGGGTGCTCTGCTAACGGAGTCATACACTGAGGCTCAGACAGGAAGTGGGGCATTGTTGGTCTGAAGGTGTCAAAGGGCTGAGACATCAACCTTTGTTTCTTTCATTCACTCAACAAATAGCTATTCAGGACGTACTAAGCGCTGCCTGTATCTGCAGACTGTAGTTTTTAGAAACAAATCTAAGCAATAACACCAGGAAAGCAGAATTTAGAGATTGCAAGGAGAAATCTGGGGGTGGCCATAAGTGGGTGTTTCTGACCCCCTTACTTGGCCAGAATCTCTGTGCTTGATTCCCTAGAAACTGGAATTCTCATGGGAATGATTCTGGGGTTAGAGTGAAGGGACTGGGCCCCTCAGATGCTGTCCTGGACCAACATCTCCATACCTGTCACCTTTGGATCTTGGAGTTTGAATGTTAGGGATTTGTCCCATTTACATGGCCTCCTGTTTATCCCTAGTTCAACCTCCTACTTGACCATCCTGGCTCTGCTTTAACTTCCTCCCTAGACTGGCAGTCTCAGTCTCCCTCTCCAATCTACTCTACACTTAATAGTCACAGGGATCTTTCTAGAGCCTGAATCTAAGACTCCCTGCCTAGAATCCTCCGTGGCTCCCTAGTGTCCTCAGGGTAAAATCAACACTTCATAATGAGTGTTTAAGGTCCCTCGGAGAATGCTAATGGTCTATTTTGCTTCTGGCTTCTTTCCTCTTTCTGTGTTGGCTCCCTAGTGTCCTCAGGGTAAAATCAACACTTCATAATGAGTGTTTAAGGTCCCTCGGAAAACGCTAATGGTCTATTTTGCTTCTGGCTTCTTTCCTCTTTCTGTGTCTTCCAAAGATCCCCAAACCCACAATGGTGACTCTGTGAGGACTTTGACCCTAGCCCCTCCCCTTGTCTACTGGAGTCGGTCTCAGCAGAGCTGCCCAGGAGCCTGGAAAGCCCAATAGGAGACCAGGCCTGTAAACCCACAATGGTGACTCTGTGAGGACTTTGACCCTAGCCCCTCCCCTTGTCTACTGGAGTCGTCTCAGCAGAGCTGCCCAGGAGCCTGGAAAGCCCAATAGGAGACCAGGCCTTAGGACTCTGAAGGTGACCCAGAGGACACCAGTGGAGATTGGCCGAACAAATTATGGCTCTAGACCAACAATCTAGTTTATGGGCATTACAGAGGGTAAAGCAGCACACTGCATAACATCACAAGGACATAACCAGGCAAATTTGGGACATTCTGCAAGTCAGGGACCTGGGGAAGGGGTGGTGGATAAAAATGATTAAGATGCAATTTGTATATGTACCAATTCCTGAAGATGAATATAATTATTATGTATCACAAACACATACTCACAAAAATGGTTTAAAAAGCAGACATAATTTTTTAATAGTGACAAAGCCTGAGAAAGTAAAAGTACAAACATAACTTTTAAATAAGTAAGGAGGACTTTTTTAAAGATTAAAGAAATATAACAACCAAATGCAAAGCAAGAATCCAAATTGACTTTGATTTTAAAAATCCAGCTATAAAAGTCCTTTTGAGGTGTAGGCGGAGCTCAGTGGTACAGTGTGTGCTTAGCATGTATGAGGCCCTGGGTTCCGTCCCTAGCATGTGCACACACACCAAAGCCATTTCAGAGAAATTTGAACATGGGTAAGGTAATAAGGTACTAAGGAATTACTGATATTGTCTTGGTGCTGTGGGCGTGAAGAATGTTCTCACTTTTTTGTTTGCTTGTTTGCTTTGTTTTTGAGACGAGGGCTTGTTGTGTTGTCCAGGCTGACCTCGAATTCGTGATCCTCCTGCTTCAGGCCTCTGGACTCCACTGGGAATGGGCCACTAGAAGTTTGCTCTGGTGTCTCCTCAACCCTTGCCACTTCCTCCTTTGCTAGTTTGAATCTGTAGATTTCACTGTCATGCACCACGATCATGAATATGTCCGCTGTTTTAGTTCTTTTGAGTCCATCTAGCAAATTATTGAACCTAAGGTAGTCATGGGGCTAGATCTCCAGGCACAGTTGTGGAGGGTGGCACATCAGGGAGACAGGCCTCATTGCTACTGTAGGCACACAGTGCTTTATGCCCACAGTCGGTACTTCCTGCACACTTGAATACCGGGTGTGTACATTCATTAACTGGAGCCCAATATCCAACACCAAGAGACTGACACTACCAAAGTAAATTTTTACTTTTATTGTGAAACACACTGCATATTCAGAAATGTATGAAATGAAGATTATGGCTTTTAAAAATACTTATAATGGCTGGGAATTTAGCTCAGTGGCAGGGCACTTGTCTCACAAGTGCAAGTTACTGAGTTCGATCCCTGGTACCAGAAGAAAAAAAAATACATTTAATGGTGCCGGGGATGTAATTCAGTGGTAGAGAACTTACTTGCCTAGCCACTGTGAAGCCCTGTGTATGGTCCCTAAAACAAATAAAACAGAAGTTTGTTAAAGTGAAAAAAGAAACACCAAAACCCAAGTCCCTAAAACAAACTCATAATGTGGACAACTGAATCATCATTCATGTTGAGAAAATAGAACAAAAATTTTAAAAAAGAATACAGAAACCCTCATATGCCTCTCCCATTACACAACTCTGTCCACCTACAGAGGAACACATCTCTCTAACATTTGCAGTAATCATTTCCTTGTTTCCCTTCTTTTAGTTTTGTCTTTAAAGTTTATTATACTCGTTTTCCCTGTTTTCATATTCATTGATCAGAAACACCACCCCCTATTTGGCACATAGCTTCTCTTACTCAGTACTGTGCGTATAAGATTTGGCCAGGTCAGGGATTTAGCTCAGTGGTGCTGCTCCTGCCTCTTAAGCACAAGGTCCTGAGTTTGATCCCTGGGACCTATTTGGCCATGCGATTGTAACAGTGGTCCATTCTTTTTTATTATTGTATAATATTCCATTGTATGGATAAACCAAAATGAATCTATCCATTCTCTTTTGATAGGGAATCTGGGTTGTTGCTATTTAGAACTATTATGAAAATTCTTTTTCTCTCTGTTTTCCCTGATACCACAGTTCAAGTTCTCTAGGATATATACTTAGCATAGAACAGCTGGGTTATAGGTTATTTGTGTTTTTAAAAATTATTTAATAACACTGACCCATTTCTCAATGAAATATGATGCAATTGCAACAAGACAGGTCAATTGCTTACCCAAGATCACAAAGCCAAGCTGCCTTGATTCCAGAGTCCCTTGCCCCCTAGTAAATGCAGCCGCTGGCACATTAGTAGGCACTGTAACTGCAGCCCTTTATGGTGAAGGTTGCTGGGGGCTGCTTCTGGGGGTTGCCTTTCCTGTTACCGTTACTCTGAACTCTGTCCCCATTGTTAATAATTAACTGCCCCCAAGGGGCAGTTATGATCCTAAAGACTTGTCCAGTTAATCAGTTACTGCCCCCTGACTGGGAAAGGGGCACCCGGCCCACTTGCAGTTCCGAAGCCCCTTCCCCTGGAAGGCTGGAGGCGGGGGGCAACTCGTAATGCTGCGGACCTGCCGAGCGCTCTGTTCCCAGGCTGGGCCTCCCACGGGGAACTGGCAGCCCCTGCATTTTGATGGCTCTGCCTTCCACCTCAAGAGCACAGCAGAACTGGCACGAGCTTTGCTGGTGCTACGGCTGTGTGCCTGGCCCCCTCTGGTCACCCATGGGCTGGCGGTGAGCAGTGCCCCTTGGGACTGGCCTGGGTGCTGCCTGGGCCTGGCACTGAGTCCTTGCTCCCTGTCACCCAGCTCCAGGCCTGGTCTCGGCGACTCCTGGGCTCTCGGCTCTCTGGGGCAATCCTCCGAGCATCCATGTATGGGCAGTTTGTGGCCGGGGAGACCACAGAGGAGGTGAAGACCTGTGTCCGGCAGCTCCAAGGCTTTGGCCTGCGACCCCTCGTGGCAGTGCCCATTGAGGAGGAACCTGACTCGGCCCCCAAGACTGGGTGAGTAGAGAGCCGGGACCAGGGGAGTTGGGAGGATGGCAGGAAGGGGCTTCCCAGGCCCAGGCCCTGATCCCTGCGGGCTGGCAGAGAGTCCTGGTATGAGGACAACCTCAACACCATGATGCGGTGCGTGGACCTGTCACGAGGCCTCGTGGAGACCTCTGGACCAGCTGGGAACAGCCTCATGCAGCTGAGGGTGACAGCACTGACCAGCACACGACTCTGTGTAAGGGACAGGCAAGGCTGGGGCCTGGGGATGAGGCTGCGCATCAGATCCCTTCATCACCTCACCCACTATCCCATTTCAGAAAGAGCTGACCTCATGGACCAGAAGGTCAGGGTCCTCCTCAGAGCTGAGACCTGAGAGGCTGGCAGAAGCCATGGACTCAGGACACGTAAGGACCTCAGGGGAGTGGAGTCCTTGGGCCTGGATGAGATACATTTAAATACAATCATAAGCTATACGAGGAAGCTTCAGTCAATGATGGATCACATATTTGACGGAGGCCTCGTAAGATTATAACAGAGCTGAAAGATGCCTGTCACCTAGTGACAGTGGAACTGTGGTGAAGTCGTAGTGTAATGTGTTACTTGTGTGCTAGTGAGGCGTGTGAACAAACCTACTGTGCTGCCAGTCATATAACAGCATAGCACGTGCAATTATGAACACTACATCGCTGATGGTGGTGACCAAGGACTGTGCTACAGGCACAACTCCAGGCAGTAGATATGGATCATCTTCAATTCACAGGGGAGGACACTAAGCTCCAGAGAAGTATTATGACTTGCTCAAGGTCACACAGTAAGTGGTTGAGCCAGGATTCAAACTCGGCCTGGTCAGTCTCCTAACCACTGTATTATACCTGAGTAAATAGTATCTATTTGATCTAGGAGGCTGAGGAGGGAAGATTGCAAGTTCCAGCCCCGCCCAGGCAACTTAGCAACTTAACAAGACCCTGCCTCAAATTTTCAGAAAGGAAAAATTTTAAGGGGCTAGGGATGTGACTCAGTACAAAGGCCCTGGGTTCAAACTCCAGGACCACACACACACACACACACACACACACACACATGCATGAGCACATGCGGGCGCGCACACACACACACATCTATTTGATATTGTTATTTTTCCCCACAATCTCTAACTTTTCTTCTTGTCCTGGTGGTGGGGAGGAGATTTATACCCAGGAAGGGTCCAGCAGTCCCGAACCTCTTTTGCCTCTCCTGCTACCCCTCAGAGCCTCCAGGTCTCCTTCCTCGATGCTAAGCAGAACCAGCACCTCCAGGCCTCCCTGAGCCGCTTGCACCGGGTGGCACAGGTAACACCTCTGTCACGGTCTGGCTCCTGCCCGACCTGGCTGCCCTGGGCCCTGACACTGAGTCTCGCCCTCAGCACGCCCGTGCCCAGCACGTGCGGCTCCTGGTGGATGCAGAGTACACCTTCATCAACCCCGCGCTCTCTCTGCTGGTGGCCGCCCTGGCCCTGCGCTGGAACACCCCGAGGGAAGGCGGGCCCTGGGTGTGGAACACTTACCAGGCCTACCTGCAGGTGGGTGGGGTCTCTAGAGGATGTGGCAGGCCCCTGGCCTCTGCCCATGCGAAGAACCACCTTGCCCCTGCAGGACACGCATGAGCGGCTGAGGCGAGACGCTGAGTTTGCACACAGAGCAGGTCTGGCCTTTGGGGTGAAGTTGGTACGAGGCGCATATCTGGAGAAGGAGAGAATGATGGCTCAGCTCCAAGGGACAAAGGATCCCACTCAACACGACTACGAGGCCACCAGTCAGAGGTAGGAGAGGGTCAGGTTGGCCTCGGGAGAAATAATAACACCATGCAACCTCTCCTTAGAGCTCGCTGCCCACCATGAAGCTCTGTGCTGAGCATTCCGGGTGTATCCACACTTCACTCCCTCTCCCAGGTTCCCCCAGCAAAAAACAGCTCCCTCTTGGGCCCTCTGCCCGCTCTTTGTGCCAATCCCTCATCCCTGGTGCCTCTGTGTGCCAGTTCATGTAGCCAGATCCCTCCTTCTGGACATCTGGGTTACTGCTACTCATGCGCTGTAGAAAATGCTGCAGGGATGAACCTTGGGTAAATGTCATCTTGTGCATGCGATGTGACCCTTTGCTGTGACGCTGCCATTGTGTCAGAGACTTTATACGCACCATCACCTCACTCTGTCCTCGCAGTAGTGCTGTCAGGTAGATTCACAGGGTTACCAAAGAGGACAGTGGCTCAGAGGACGATGTCCTTCAGAGCCAGCACACATGGCTCCGGAGACCCCACTCTTGGGAACATCTCATCTTTCCAAGGACAGGAGTCCTGAGCTGACTGTGGCATGTCCCTTCAGTTATAGCCGCTGTCTGGAGTTGATGCTGAACCATGTGTCCCATCACGGCCCCATGTACCAGCTCATGGTGGCTTCCCACAATGAGGAGTCTGTGCACCAGGCAACCAAGCGGTATGAGGTGGGGACTGGGAGCGAGGCACCCTCAAGAAGGCCCCTCCCTTCCTGTCCTTTGCTCATGTGGCAGGGACAGGCAGAGGGTAATGACTATGGGACAAGAAGAGCTCCAGTAAGGTATTTGGGGATGATATTGAAAATATTTTACCCCTGCTATGCCTGTAGGCCCTGTAGGCCCCAGCTGGACAAGGCATGGAGACAGGGAAGGGGAAGTCTGAGGGTCCAAAAATTGGTCAGAACTCAGGGTCTTCAGGGAAACTCAAGAGGGTTTCTTTACTACTGTCTTAGTTACTTTTCCCATTTCTGAGACAAAATACCAGACACCCAAAGTTAAAGGAGGAAAGGTTTATTTTGGCTCATAGTCTGTAGAGGTTTCAGTTCATAGTTTGTTGGCTCCAAGGCAGGGTGGCAGGCAGAGGGGCATCGCAGAGGAGAAACAGTGTATGGCAGGCGGAAGTCAGCAAACTAGCAAGCAAAGCGACCAGAGGCAACAAGTGACAAGTGAGGACCCTGTCCCTGTCCCTTATATCTTATCCAAGCTACCCACCTTTAGGGTGGACAGCACTCACACCCTAGCATTGCACCGTGAATTAATCACATCCTTGATCCCAGCATCACACGCTCCAGATCCAGCCACCTCTGCAAGCCCCACCTATGACTGCATGAGGCTTTGCGGGGACAGCTAGATACAAGACACAGATCACTGAGTTCAGAACGACACTCATCTCTCATTATCCTGGAGAACTGGTTCCAGGACACTCCCTGCACCCATGGAGATCAAAATCTACAGATACAAATTCTTCAGGCCAGGGATTTAGCTCAGTGGTAGCTCCGCCACCTGCCTCACAAGCATAAGGTCCCGCGTTCGATCCCCGGTACCAAAACAAAAAACAAACAAACAAAAAAACACAAAGGCCTCAGATGCTCAAACCCCTTATATAAAATAGCATATAGCATTTGCATATAGCCTAAACACATCCTCCGGAATACTTTAAATCATCTCAAGATTACTTATAATATCTAATACAATGTAAGCACTGCATAAATAGTTGTTATACTCTATTGTTTAAGGAATAATGATAAGAAAGCACCCATATGTTCATACAGACATAATTTTTTTCAAGTACTTTTGATCTGTGGTTGGTTGAATCTGTGCATTCGGGACCCCTGCATACGGAGTGCCCGACCAGGTGTCAATATTCAAATTATTGTGACAGCCATACAGCTGTGTGATGGCTGACTTGCTGCTTTAGATCAAGCCACGGTCTGGACTGATGTTGTGGCCTTTTCCACAGTATGTGGGAGCTGGGCATTCCTCTGGATGGTCCTGTCTGTTTTGGACAACTTCTGGGCATGTGTGACCATGTCTCCTTGGCACTGGGTATGTGAATGGTGCACTCTACTCATCCCCAACTCCCACCCCTCACCCCAACCCTCATTCCCTCCCCATCAGAGCCCCTCTGCTATTCCCACCCAATGCCTGGCCAGGATCCTATTCTCCAGCACCTTCCTAATCTGTGTTATCTGTGGCTCTGGCAAGGTATCACTGTATCTGCTGTCTGTTGTTTTTGCTGGTTCTTGATCATGGTGTTGTGTTTCCTGTGTGCTTTGAGATCCTGATTGTGCTGTCCCCAGAGCGTGAGACAATAAGATTTACGTTTCTTCTTATCAGGTGTTAAGGGCTACAAATCCACTTTACCCTAAATTCATAGCTGGAAATATTCCAGTGCTGCAAATATTGGCTGCATATTGGTCCATGTCTATGACCCCTCACAGATGCATTTTTTTCTGTTTTCTTCCATGCTCTGCCTGGGTATATTTTGATTTTGAGACAGGATCTTGGTAAGTTGCCTGGGCTGGATTCAAACTTGCCATCTTTCCTGCCTCAGCTTCCCCTCACTTTCTCTTAATTCTTGGATTAGTAAGTTCCTTGCTGTCTTGGCAGCATTTTAATAACTTTAAAAAGATTTCTTATTAGATGTAAGGCACATACTTGTAATCCTAGCACTCTGGCAGGCTGAGGCAGAAGGATCACAGGTTCCAGCTCAGCCTGGGGAACTTAGTGACTTAGTGAGACCCTGACTCAAAGTGAAAAACAGAATAAGGCCCCGGGTTCAACCTACAGTACTGCAAAAAAAATTTTTTTTTAATATAATTTCTTTTAAATGTTTGCTCCTGGGTTTTTCATTTTTTTCAATGAGAAATTGTGTCCAAAATTTGGAAATCTCTATTGCAGGCTGTCTAGAGACCCCACCCACCTGCAGGGTGCCTCTCCCCAAGCTTGAGCCCATACCCTTCCAACATTCTCCTCCCCAGGGCAAGCTGGCTATGCAGTGTACAAGTCCATTCCCTACGGCTCCCTGGAGGAGGTGATCCCCTACCTGATCCGGAGGGCTCAGGAGAACCGCAGCGTGTTACAGGGTGCACGAAGGGAACGGTCGCTGCTCAGCCAAGAACTGCGGTGCAGGCTGCTGGGGTGAAGCCCAAGGGTCCGCTCTTAGTACTTCCAGGGTCATGTGGTCAATAAAGTTACTGCCCAGCCTGCTCTTTTGAACTAACTGCAGCTGCTTCCTGGGAGAAGGACTCATATTGGCTTCATCCAGCCTGAGTCGGGGGTTCTGTCGCTCAGGTGAGATCTTTAGATGGCCACGGCATACAGCTCAAGGGCATAGCTGGAGGACTAACGAAGCCTCTTCCGGACTCTGAGCCAGCTCAGTCTGGGATGTGCCTGATCCATGACCGACACAGGAACTTTCTTCATCTCAGTGGCTCCCCAAAAGAAGAGCACAGGTGAAAAGCAAGACACCGAGAGACTGGAGACAAAAGGCCGGTCCAAGGCTACAGGCCCAGTAATCAGCATCAGACAAATCCCTTTCTGAGCTAGGTTCTGAGCTGAATAAGGCTGGGGACTCAAGAGTGACAAAGACACCCTCACCCTACCCCACAGAGCACACAGTCTAGGGGCTCTGACAGTGTCACTCCTCAGACAGTGACAACCCAGAGTGGTCAGGGATATGACGGGGAAATCCAGGGGTATAGAAGGCGGGAAGTGGTACCTGACCCAGCCTGGGGTGATAAAAGAGTATCCTCAAGAATTCATAAGAAGCAGCATGCAGAGTGAGAGGAACGTTCAAAGGCAAGGGCACGTGCAAAAAACGGAGCAGTGGGACCCAGACTGGGGAGTGGCAGGGATGGAGGGATGCGCAGGACCAGAGGATGCAGTCTCAGATGCCAAATGGCAGGGTGAGGGTTGTGTCCCAAGGCCACTGGGGAGTCAAGAGGGTTTCAGGCAGAGGAAGAGAAGGTCAAGAGAAGATCCCTATGGCTGCCATGCGGAGGACGGACTGGAGACAGGCTGGGAGCCCAGATTAGGACAAGGCAGGGAGTCTGGAGGGTGTGGGGGTGTGTGGGGGTGCTGAGAGCATGGGCCATAGGACTGATGGGTCCTATGGGAAGGACATGGCCAGCACAAGGTTCAGGGTTCTGGCTTACAAAGAGGGCCTGCAGGGTCAAATCCGTGAAGAGGACCCGGGAGAAGTGTCTGAGGGAGATTCTGAGGCCATTGTGAGAACTGGTGGGTGTGACAGACCCCAGCGGCCATCTACGGGGGAGGTGTCCTGCGGGGTTCTTTAGTGCGGGGCTTAAGGGAGAGGCAGGGACAGAGGCAGAAACCAGTCAATGGCAGTGAGTGAGGAGTAAGAGAAGACAGGCAAGAATCTGCACAGGGGTCAGAAAGAGCCCACTGCCTCCCAAAAAGTCCTAGAGCTAAGGCAACAAAGGAGAAGCGCCCAGAACACAGCTGAAAACTGGCACAGACAGCCCTGTTTCTTCTTCCGGTCATCCCAGCACCCTAGGCACCTCTCTGGCGAGGGAAATGACAGCGCAAACCAGGAGGCCGCTGGTGCTCATGCGCCTAGGATTCCCGCCCAGCCATTGGTGCATCAGGGTCACGTGGTAGTACCCCAGTAGCCCTATCCTGCCCAACGGTAGGTACAACGCCACCTGAGTGGGACTCCAGGCCTAAAGCTTTTTAGAGCTTTCAGGATCCTCAGCTCTTCACCACATACCATCCTCCAGTCCGAGGCTCCGCCCTCCCACCCTGCCTACCCCTTCTGAAGTCCCGACTCCCACTCCCCTGCTTAACCCCCACCGTCCCCAGGGGATTGAACCCAGGGCCTTCGCACTAAGCTACATCCCAGCCCTTTTAATTCATTTGTTTGTGTTTGTTTGTTTTGAGACAACTTCACTATGTCGCTAAATTGCCTAGGCTGGGCTCTCACTTGCCATCCTCCTGTCTCAGCCTCCCGGAAACCCCACCTTTTAGCGAAGCTTTCCCCAACCCATAGACCCCTCCCTTCCCTACTCTCTTCCTCAGCCTATGGAGTTCACTCCACCTAGGGACCCAGCTCTCGCCCTCTGCCCGCAGGTCTCACCCTAGCACACTCTCTCACACCCCGCAGACCAACCACCTCAGGTCAGTAGGTCCTGCTTCTGCAACCAGTAAAATCCAGCTAACTCCCAAGCCTTCAGACTCCCTCCTTGTCCTTGCAGCTCCTTTACTACCCGGGTAGGCCCTTCCCCAGCCCTAAGACATTTTCCCCAGTTCCACTTTCCTTAGATTACCTTCAGTTCTCAGACTTGCTGAGAGCCCGGATCTTCGGGTATAGAGCTCCACCCTTTGTAACCCAACCCTTATTCGGACGCTTTCCCTCCATTGGACACCCGGAATCCCTTTCTGCTCCAGCCCGCCCCGCCCGCACTAGCCAGTTCTGTCTATTGCTCCCAGAACCCCTGGCTTTTGTCTCCTCCTGCCCTCATGAGACTCCCTAGCTGACCTCCCCAGGAGCTGAGCCTGCAGATGCCCTCCCTGCCTTCTGACCTCCCTGTGGAGCTGGGCTCTGTCCAGGAGCTAGATGCCCAGTTGAGCCGTCTGCATCGCCTGGCTGTGGCAGGGGGCCCAAGCTGGAGCCTGGCCAGGCTTCTGCGGAGAGGTGAGGGGTTGGTTGTTGGAGCACTTGTGGCAGCAGTATGGAGGATGAAGTTTCAGATAGCTGGCCAACAATTATGTATTCAGGACCCACTGTGCGCAAAGCTCTGCAGCCCAAGATGGGGACCTAAGAATGACTGTGACCTCTGGAACATAGAAATAAAATCTGTTTGGGGGGTGGGATGAGGGATGGGGATAAGATGCCCCAGGCAGGATGACTTTTCAAATGAGCAATAATGAAGTCCTACTATGTAAAAGCCAGTTATGAAAAAAGCTAGGAAAGAGACTCTTTGTAGCTGGAATGGCCTGTGCAAATGGCCTGAGGTCAAAATGAATTGGGCATGTGTGTGAGTAGGACAGAACTCAGGGAGAGGATTGATGCCAAAGAAATAGCTGGTCCAACAGTAAAGAGCTTCAGATTTTGTTCTGTGATGGGAAGACATTGGCATTGCAAAGAGGAAATTAACCCCACAATGAACATTGAGAGTTTCCGATTTCATTAGTAAATTGATTGTGAGTTTAGCTACTTTTTGAACTCAATTCATAGTTGTGAATTATTTTAGTTCTTTTTTTTGATCTGAAGATAGTGAAGATTTGGTCTTAACACCTAAATATTTAAACTGTATTTTTTTTCTTGTCTTAAACTATTGGCCAGAATTCCCACACCATGTTGGTGGTGAACGTCTTTTTCCTTGTTCTTGATAATTAAAAGATGCCTTAGTATTTTTGTATTAAGTATGATGTGTGCTATTGGTTTCTGGTTTGTAATTTTTATAAGATAAAGGAGCTTCCATCAGAGTTGTCTGCCTTTTTTTCTTCCTAACTATAAATAGGTATTAAATTTTGTTGAGTGTAGTGGCACACACCTGAAATCCCAGCACTCAGGAAGCTAAGGCAGAAGGATTGCCACAAGTTCAAGGCCAGCCTGGGCTACATAGTGAGCTCAAGGTCAGCCTGAAATACATATCGAGACCTTGTCTCAAAAAAACAAACAAGGGCTGTGGCTTTAGCTCAGTGACACCAAGCCTGCCTTGCAAGCTCAAGGTCCCGAAATCAATCCCTGGTACTACAAAAAAATTTTTTTTATCATTTTCTTTTTCTATATAAACTGAGTTAAACATGATTTTTCCATTCTTCCATAAATGTATTTTATTACAGTGATAGTTGTTCTGTTCTGCTGGGATTACAGGCATGTGCCACCATGCCTGGCTAGATTTTCTTGTATTGGTCCTCGTTGCTTTCTGGAAATAAGTGAAACTTTATTTAGGTTTTTGTATATATGGTCATGAATGGAATATTTTCTGCTTCTGGAAACTCTCGTCTGGTTTTGAAATTAAGGTCATACTACCCCCATAAAATGAGCCTTATGCTCTTTTTTCTATCTTTCTTGGTTTGGAACAATTTTTATAAGATTACCTCATCCTTGAAATGACTTGTATTTTTTGTTTGTTTGTTTTTTTGAGACAGAGTTGTAGTTGAGAGTGACTTGGAACTCACTATGTGACCCAGGCTGGTCTCGAACTCACAGTGATCCTCCTGCCTCAGCCTCCGAGTGCTGGGATTACAGGCAAGCGCCACCACACCTGGCAAAATGACTTGTATTTTAAGTCGGAGTATTCATAGTGCATGATGAGCATGGGAAACCAGTTAGGATGCCCTGGTGGGCTACTGAGTAGATGTGATGCAGTGAGGGTGGTATTCAGATTCTGCTGGGTCCACATTTGGATGGATTCTGCGGCAATGATTAAGTGCATGATTCTTAGCCATGTCTGCGAAGGACACAGGTGGGGCAGGGCCTGGAGGAAGAGGAACTTGGGAAGGATTGAGGGCAGAGATACAGGGTTTGGGGCAGAGGATGAGTGGCTGGGGTGAGGGGTCCCCATCCAGATGGTGTGGGGAGGGGATTGGCACAGGCATGGAGGTGAAGTGCAAAGAAGGCTGCTATGGCTTTAGCCCTGAGATGCGGTCTTCAAAATAAATGAGAGATTTCCTGATGAAATCCAGAGTTTGCTTTACTTGAAGATTTGGAAGCCAGCCAGGTGGGACCTATATGTCAGGTCCAGTTAAAGTTGGGTGGAATCTGCTGTCCCAGTGTACAAGGCTCCCTGGAGTCCTCTTCCTCCTGGTCTGGGTGTCTTTGTGTGATTTTGACACCTCTGGAAAGAGGCTGGATATTTGCACGGCAGGCGGATGTCACTCCTTGTTCCGACTTTGTAGGCTTGGTGGTGATTTCTGGACACCATGTTTAAGTAGATTTGGAAGCAGAGTCCTCCCTCAGCAGCTGGAAAGATAGGACCTCAGTGGTCACTTAGTCATAGAGGGCCAGTGGAGGCTGGGAATTGGCAGGAATATCTGCCAAGTGGCCCCCAGCACTTCTGCCCCCAAAGTTTCGGGAAGGGACAGTCCTAATCCTTGCCATCCCTCAGTTGTCCAGATCGATGGCGAGAACTCTGCTGGGTAGACGGGGCTTTTCCTCTCGGCTCTGCTGGGCCACGGCTGTGCCGTGCGGCTCTTGCTGGCCAATGGTGCCAACCCCAACCAGTAAGTGGACAGGCCACAATGCCCCATACTCCCAGGGCCCAGATCCTGAGACCTGGTTTCTTCCCCAGAGGCCTCTTTTCCTCATAGTTCTTCCAGTTACTGTGACCCCCTTTGCCCTCTAAGCCCCTCCTGTCCCCCAGGGATTTCTCATTCCCCGGTGCTTCCTGAGCTCGTGGTGATCCTCTCATTACCACAAAGGCCCCATAAGCCCTCACATGACCTCTCCACCCTCCCACTTCCCATGTTCCCTTGCCGCTCCTTTCCTAACCCATCCCCACCCTCGTTATTCCACCCTAGCCGCTGCCTGAACGGCAGCACACCAGTGCATGCCGGGGCCTTCTCAGGCCGCAGCCAGGTCATGGCACAGCTACTGCAGGCAGGGGGTGACCTGTGTCTGCATGACCAGCAGGGTCACACACCACGAGACTGGGCTGAGCAGGGTGGTGTCAGACAGAGCCGGGAGGTGAGCAGTAGCCCAGGTGCAGGTAAGGGCATCAGGGCAGCACCTGCACCGGGCCTCACCCACACGCTCTTGTCCAGGTAGCGGAGCTGTTGCAGCTGTGCCGCACCCACATGTCCGCACTATTGAATGGCGGGGAGTTAGCACCTTTTGCAGCCCTGGGCCCATTGTACGCCGGCTCTGGGCACGGCCTGTGTGGCTCTTTGTCTTCACTGATACAGGCAGAAAGGTAATGTGCCTCACCACGGGGCCTGCCCATCCACCACACCTAGGTGCTCCAGACTTTGCCTCAGCCCACCTTTTACCAGGACCCCGAGGCCAGAGCAAATTGGGAGATCTCTCCAAACCCCCCTAGCCTTGGGGTTCGGTCAGGTAAGTGGGAAAAGCTGGGAGGACAGGGACTACCTGCGTTCTTCCTGCCTCATGGTCCCATTCCCCATTCCCAGCTGAGAAGCCTACAGCCACTGGGGCTGGTAACGGGCCCGCCTATGGTGGACCCCAAGGAGCTGCTGTCAGCCCAGGGCGAGCCTGACAGCACCTATGAAAGCAGCTCCCATACCCTCATGGCCAAGTGAGAGCCCCTTTTCCATGCCCTTGCTGATTCCTCCTCCTGCTCCCGCTCCTGCTCCCGCTCCCGCTCCCCCTCCCGAGGAGCTCTTAGACCTGCCCTCTCTGCTGTTCACCATAACCCAGCCTCCTGTGGAGGGGCCACCCTGTGAGCAGGCGGCAGCTGAAGGCCCCTGGGGCCTGTCCTGACGTGCTATTGGCTGACCTTCAGCACTGCAGGTACTCTGCCTCAGCCCCCCTGCCCAGCCTGATCCCCCCACTACTCTCAGCCTGCTCTCTGGACTCAAGCAGTTCATAAACAGAAGACCAGGAAGTGTGGCAGTTGCCATGGTGATAGAATCTTCACCTCTGTACCAGCACCTAGCATGAAGCCTCCAGCTGGAGCCCACTTTCCACTGGAAAATGGATACACTGTTCTCTATGCTGTGTCCTGTAGGCCCCAGACAGGAGATGGAGGTGGGAGGGGTATCATGCACAGGGTATGGGCTAGACGCTAGCCCTGCTGGGTCTGTTTTTCCTCTGGTGCCTGGTACAGTGTCTGCTACTGGCACATGGTGGGTGGTCTGTGTCCAAGAACAACTTCCATGAGGCCAGCACTTGGGAGGCTGAGGCAGGAGGATCACTGTGAGTTTGAGGCCAGCCTGGGCTCCATAGTGAGTTCAAGACCAACCTGAACTGTATAGTGAGACCCTGTCTCAAAAAACCAAAACCAAAACAAACAGACAAAAAAGGAACAGCTCCCAACCTATGCAGGTCAGGACCTGCCTGTGAGTGGCAGCTCTTCTCCTCCCAGCACCTTGCATCACCCCAACCTGCTGCCGCTGATGGCACTGAGCCCCTCAGCAGACCTGGCAGGGCTATGTCTTCTCTTCGAGCCTGTGTGGCTGGGCTCCCTGCATGTGATGCTGCACCCACCAAGGTGGAAGGAGAAGGGGCCTGGAACCGTGCCAGGCCTGCTGCCTGGCCACATGCTGCTGCAGGTGCTGGAGGCCCTGCTGTTCCTGCAGGCCCATGGGAGGGCCCACGGCAGCCTCAGTTCCCATGCTGTCCATCTGGTCCGGCCTGGCCTAGCTAAGGTCGGCAACCTAGAGCACGGACGCCCACTGAACCAACCTTGCCTGAGGCCCAGGTGAGTGCCTGTCCTATGTTCCTGTCCCATGTCCCTCCCAGCAACTACCAGATCACCAAATTCCTTGGGCTCCACAGGCTGCAGCAGGGCTACCCCTGGGGAGGCCCAGGTATAGGGCTACCCCCACCTCCTGAACTGTACCCATGGCTGCCTCTGGAGCTAATCCACGGTGACACACCTGCCACCACCTCAGATCTCTACAGCTTCTGCATCCTGGCTCAGGAGGTCTTCACTGGTCAGTGAGTGATGCTATACCCTACCTGCCAAGGCAGCCCACTGGCTGGGATCTTGTGATGGTTCTTCCACACAGGAGAGCTGCCCTGGGCTGGGAGAGAGGGGCTTGAGGTGAAGGACAAGCTAGAGGCAGGTGAGAGCCCAGCCCTGGATCCCTTGGTACCAACCCCCTACCAGGCCCTGGTTCGAGCTGGGCTTGGTCTAGGGCCTACCGACCTCTGGGGCAGCTTGCAGAGTACTCGATACCTACTGAGGGAGGCCGTGGCCCAGGTACAGGTTTAGTGGGGGTGGGGGTAGCCATGAAACTCCAGGCAGGGCCTGTGTCCCTACACCCAGCCTCCTTTCCATAGGACTCAGATCCTGAGGTCAGTTCCCCACTGAAGTGTACTACATTGACCCCTGTACCTCAGGGGTTCCTACCAGGTTAGGGGGCAAGAAGGGTGATGGTGGGTGCTGGGCCCAGCTGGGCTGGGCCTCCCATTCCAACTAGGTCTGGGTCTATCTCTCAGAGCAAAAGTACAATGAAGTAGCTCATAGAGCCAAGACAATGCCCAGGCTTGTGCACCCAGGCCCCATCCCATCCCAGGTAGGAGGAGCTGGGGAAGGATGTGGGGGACCAAGAGAGATGTAAGGCACTGAGAAACCCGCACCAGCTCTCTGACATCATGCTCTACAGGCCCTGGAGACTCCTGAAGTCACAGGTCACAGTAGGGTCCAGAGGGGTGCAGCCCAGGACTCAAGCAGCAGTTTGACTCTAGGCAGCAGCCGTAGTCCCAGCCCTGGCTCTAGCCACAGTCCCACCACCAAGGTCAACCTGTTCTGCTGCCCAGAGCCCACATCAGCAGTATGAACCCCACCCCCCGAGCCCACTGCTAACCCGTGACCCTGCCATCCCTGCCCTGTAGTAGACCCCGGCTCCCTCTCCTCTGACCAGTGACATCAGGACTCAGTCACTGCCCTCTCACTGACCTGTGACTCCTGACTAACCCTGCTGCCCCCAGAGTCCCTCTGTGTACTTCAGCCTTCAGGACTCAGCTTCACAGACCCAGTCTGTGGAGCAGTTTGAGAAGAAGTTCTTGGTCCAGATTCCAGCCCTGTCAGCCCATTCATTCGGCTTCCCATACCCTGCTACAAGGGCAGACAAAGCCATGGACCCCAAGGCCATCCCTTGCCCCATCCCGCCTTCCCAGACCCATTCTAGCTTCTTGGCCGCCTAGTGGCAGCTCCAGCTTTTTTGTCCTGTAGGTACCCAGCAGTGAGCCAATGAGGGGAGATCTCTACTCCAGCCTGCAGCAGTGAGATGGGGCCCAGGTGGGGGGACCCACTGCCCCTCTCCCATCCATGAGGTAACCCTAGGTCTACCCTCGCCATGTTCCCCAGAATGGATCTGCTGGAAGAGATCATGGCAGAGCTGCAAAATAGATGCCAACTTGAAGACAAGCCAAGCCTGGGCCCTACTACTGGTGCAGATTCCTAGGGTGTCCTGACCCCTCTCTGCAGATAATGCCCCCTTGAGCCTTCCAGGAGGGCCTGACTCCTCACTCAGTGCCTGCCCCAAGGAAAGAAAACGACAAAGCAACCCATCTGTCTCTTTGTTTAGAGTCTGGCCCCAGCATGATACCAGCAACTACATTTTCACCATTTTTATTCATTAACTTTGTCAGATGGTTTAGCGAGATACATGGGGAGAGATGAATAGGAGCCCCCCACCCCCTATGAACAGGTCAGGACAGGCTGGGGGCACCTAGAGGGAGAGGGAGGACAGAGGGAGAGGGAGGATAGGGTATCAGTCTAGTTCTCCCTTAGTTTTGTGCAACGGCCCCCAGGAAGGAGGACAGTGGGGGGATGGACATGCCCTTTAGCCCAGGGTAGGACATTATGATTTCAGGTTAGGAACCCACATCAGAAGCAAGTTACAAAGTTAGAAACCTGGAGTAGGGGTTGGGAGGTCAAGAAAATATAAAACAAGAGATGGGGTCAGGCAAAGATCCAGTGAGGACAAAAGGGAAGAATGCCCTTCTTGGCTCCAGCTCAACAGTAGCTTCGGGTCTGGCCCTCGGAGTGGAGGGACCAAGTAGGAGTGGGATAAGGGGGTGGGGGACCAGCCCCCTCTCCCCTCTGACCCCCATTTCTATACAAAGAACCTCGGTAATGCTCTCCTCCCCTCCCATAGGCTGGTGGGGATCCCCGGTAGAGCAGGAGAGGCTCAGGAGGGCCCCAGGGTCCTGGTACCCTGTGAGGGGTACGGGAGCCCCAGGGGGCCCGCTGCTTCTGGGGGAGGCGTGGGGCTGGGGGACCAGGATCTGAACGGCTCCTGGGGTGGGCAGGAGGGGAAGAGGAGCAGGAAGAGGCAGGTGATGGACCCTTGGGCCCTAGGGCTAGGTTGACATACAGGGGCTCAGGCCGTGTAGGGCGCCGGGCAGGGTGCTGGGGGGCTGAATAGCCAAGGTGGTCAGGGGGAAGGCAGGAGGGGGGTGGTGGGTAGCTGAGCAGTAAGTCAGGCGACCTGTGCAGTGGTGGTGACTGGCCAAGCATGCCATGTGAGGCACTGAGCCTATCAGGGGGCATGGAGCGAAAGGGACTCCAGGACCGAGCGGGGCCCGAGTAGGGGGACCCCTCACTTGCCCCGATCTCATAGTATAGGTTGTCACCTCTGTCAAGAGGTACAGGGGGGCCCAGGGAATTTCTCCAGACTTGGGCTGGGGAGCTGGGCTGAAAGGATGGGGGGCCAAGAGGGTACAAGCCTGGTTTGGGGACCCCAAGGAAGGGTGGCAGGCACTCCCGTTGGGCTGGTGAAAAGATGCCAGGGGTAGGAACCTGTGAGGGGACAGAACATGGGGACTGGGCTGCCATTTCTGGGGCATCCCTGCACCCTCCACCAGGCCTGAGCTGGGCACCAACCTGGGCAGGGCCTCTGAGTCCCCTCCTTGAGGTTCCCACAGGCCACTGGCTCCTCACCAGGCTCCCATCACTTTGTTGCCTTGGTAGGTAGGGTGGGGGTCCTGGGGCCCAGGCACTAGAGTGGGCTAGGGAATGAGGGGGTGGCCCACTTCCTGAAGTCCCCACGGGTTCCCCACCCACCTCTAGGGACAGTGAGCGGTGGAAAGGGGAATGGGGAGCAGTCGGGGTGCTTGCATGCTCCTGCTGGCTCTGTCGCTCGGCCACCTGCTGAGCGCGCTCAGCCAGTGCCAGGGCCATGAGGCGTGCTGGGTTCTTGGGGGGTGGGGGTGGGGCCCCGCCAGGGCGTAGGAGGGACAGGGGTGGGGGCCGCAATGGCGAATCCATACTAGGACCTACGCAGAAAGGAATGGGAAGAGGATCAGCTGGGTCCTGAGGCAGCTTCAGGGTCTGTGAGAGTGTGGGGTGGGCTGAGCACGCTCAGCCAGTGCCAGGGCCATGAGGCGTGCTGGGTTCTTGGGGGGTGGGGGTGGGGCCCCGCCAGGGCGTAGGAGGGACAGGGGTGGGGGCCGCAATGGCGAATCCATACTAGGACCTACGCAGAAAGGAATGGGAAGAGGATCAGCTGGGTCCTGAGGCAGCTTCAGGGTCTGTGAGAGTGTGGGGTGGGCTGAGCAGGACTCAGCATGCTGGGCTTGGGTTGCCCGGGGACCAGGCAGTGCCAGCTTGCTGCTCTCTTGTTGGTAGATGTCATTTAGCTGGGCCTCAGATCCGTGCAGCAGCAGGGGGATGAGATGGGGACGCAGGCCTGGGCCAGGGCCGAGAGCTGGTGTTGGGGTGATGGAGGCAGGTGTTCCTCCAGCCCCCAGCAGTTCTAGGACAGCAGGTGGCACAGACACAGCCAGAGGCTCTGAGATGTCCAGGGCGGTGGACGAAGCAGGGCTGCTGGGTCCACGGGGTGAGGGAGCCTTGGGGGTTGCCCTGGGTGGGAAGGCAGAGGCAGGGGCTGGGGGTGCTGGGCTGGCAGGAGGTGCGGGGTCCCCTGGGGTGGGGCTGCTACAGCGAAAGGTAAGGGGATCAAAGTCAAGGCCCCGGAGTCCCTCCAGGCAGCGGGGTGGGCTGAAATCCAGTTCATCCCCATCATCTAGCCAGGCTGAGGTGCGGTGTGAGGGGGACCCGGAGAGTGGCCCCAGGCCAGTCGCTGAGGACTCAGACGATGATGAAGAAGAAGAAGATGAGGAGGAGGAGGAGGACGAAGAGGAAGACAGACTCTCACAGGAGCCAGCAGGTGCTGGGCCCACGGGGAATGCATCACTGCTGGAGTGGGGTCGCCGTAGCCTATGTAGCCTCTGGAGGCCTGGAAGAAGGGGAGGGGGCTTTAGGGATCGGGGTACAAACTCTGCACACTCACACATTAGTGCGAGCAGGGTACAGCTCAATCAGCAGGCAGGGGGAGAACATAAAGGGGTGCTTCCCTAGAGAAGGCCACAGAGGCTGTGGGAAGAGCCGTTCAGGTTTGCAGGTGATAAGACCATGAAGAAAACCCTGCAGGACAGCAGCTCTGCTCCTGGCTGTGTGGCAGCACAGTCTGCCAAGAGTGTGAGTTTGGCAGGGAGCCCCCAAATCCAGTCGGAGTAGGATGGGATCCACAGAGGTTGGAAAGCAATGGAATGAGGCTAAGCCACACTCAGCAACATGCATGGTAGTTTGTAATGAGTGGTGATTGAAAGTCAGATCCACATACAGCACAACTCCCTTTTTTATGATGATCTGTAAATATGTTATTTACACATATACCTATATGTGATAAAACCTTCCAAGCAAAGGGATGATGAGCTTCAAATGTAGAGGATGCCTCTGGGGAGAGGGAGCTCTCAGGTGAGGTATTGGGGCTCTTCTAGTCTGTCTAGGAAATTGTTTTCTTCCAAAGAAATAGATATAGAATTTTTCTTCCAAAAAAATAAATATAGGACTTTTAAAATTTTAAAGGATGCTGCATGGACCAATGAGAACCATGCAATGGACCAAAGGTAAGACTCATTGCAAAAATTCAAATTAAAAATTTTAAATCCCAGGCTGGGGATTTAGCTCAGTGGTTTCACTGCCTGCCTCACAAATCACAAATGCAAGGTCCCAAGTTTGATCCCCGGTACCAAAAAAAAAAAATTTAAATCCCAAGATCTCTCAAGTCTGAAATACAATGTTTGGAGGTAAAAAACCTGGGCCCCAGTTCCTCCCACCTCCACTTGGACACAGATAGGACCTATCCCGTGCTCACCAGCTCCACTGGCCTGTGATGACAGAGACTCTTCGCTCTTGGCAGATCTCAATGTGACTGTGTCAGGTCGGCTGCCTGCAAGGAGAGGTAGGACACAATAGGAGGACATGTCACAGACAACCACCCTCTTCCGTGCTGACTGCATGGCCTCTGACCTGAAGGCTGTGGTGGGGCGCGGGAGCCCCCCAGCCAGGGTAGAGGCTTCTTTCGGGGGATGCTTGGGCCTCTGCCCAGAGCAAAGAATGTCTTCCAGCTGCTTCCCCCTGGCTTCCGCTGTTTCTCCCCTCTCTCCCTTTTCCTCCTGCAGTTAGGATGAGAAAGAGGAAGCAGGCTAAGGAACTAGGGTTTCCCTCTGCCCACGCCTCCAGCATCCCACTTACCTTTCCACAAGTGAGGCTGCAGCCTTGGGGGTTGTGGCCTCAGTGGGTGTCCCCAGCCGGCCCTGGGTGCGAGCCTGGGCTTCTTCCAGTGTCAGCAGACGAGTAGAGGGGCCGCTGCCCGCAAGGGACTTGGGCCTGGGGAGGAGGCAGCGGCCTGGGGAGGTCAAAAGTAGGGCAGCTGTCAGCTCTGGGGGCCACTCAAGGCCACTGGCAAAGCCAAGCGCCACAGCCCAAGCCCCGGCCCCGCAGCATGCCCACCCGGGCTGGCAAGGCAGGGGGCCAGGGTAGATCAGGCGGGAATGCGGGGAGCAGGCAGGTGAGGAGGGATGAGGCAGAATGAGCTGATGAGGAGGCAGCTCCCAGCAGCCAGCAAGGGCAGTGGCTCTGGTCAGTTACCTCGGGCCAGAGGGCCCTCCGACGAGCTGAATCCTGACTGGGCTGGGGTCCGGGACAGGGCGGGGAGTCTGGGCAGTGCCAGGATGGGGTCAAGTCTGGGGACCTCCCACCTCCTCCCAGGTGGACCCATGGCCCCAAGTTTCCCCAGGAGCTATAAGGGGTGAAGGAAGAACGGCGTCCTGGCCAAGAAGTGGGGATCCTGAGCGTAGGAGCTGAAATGAGAAGGAGTGGGGGCGCGGGGAGGGATGGGCCGGGGCAGGGGCCTCAAGGGGTCAGGAGGGAGGTCCAGCTTCACTGGGGTAGGGATAGGGCTGGGAGCCCACCTACCCTCCCACTGCAACTCTGACATCGAGGGACCAATAGCCAGGATGTCAAGGTGGGATGGGCATACCTAAAGGGTCAAGACCAGCAGAGGTGAAGGTGTCACTGAACAGGACCTCCACATGGGTGAGCAGGAATTCCACCACCACTGACTGCACACGGACCTCCCGGAAGGCTGCCGCGCCCCCCAGCCCCACTGATTCCAGCTCCATGGACCTGAAAGGGAGGAGGAGAAGGAGGTCAGGAGCCTTGATCTTAGGCTGGCAGTTTCTGGGTAGGCAACATAGGAAATGACTGACTATTCAATACCTCTAACCTTCTAGAATTGATCACATCTGGAAATCACATCTGTTTGCCAACCTTACCCCAAACCTGCTCCCTCTTCCTCATCAGTCATTGTATTTCTTGTGACGCAGGAAGAACACCAGGATTACCCTTGACCCCTCTTTCCTTCATATCCACATTCAATTGTCAGCAAACCTTGTCAGTTCCATCTACAAAATCAACCCAGAATCTTAACTCTTCATCCCTTCAATTGCCTTAGTTGTGGCTGCTAGTTTGGATCTTGAATGTCCCTAAAAGGACCATGTGCTAAAGGCTCGGCCCCAGGGTGTTGCTATTAGGAGGTGGTGGAACTTTTAAGAGGTGGGGCCTAGTGAGAGGTCTTTAGGTCACTGGAGGCACTGTGGGACTCTAGCCCTCACTTTGGTCTCTGTCCCCTTGGCCACAAGGCAAGTGTTTTCTACTTTGCTATATGCGCCTGCCATGATGTGCTGCCTCAGCACAGGTCCAAAGTGACAGTCAACTGATTATGGACTGAAACTCCCCAAACTCTCAAAATAAACATTTTCTCAGCCAGGCGTGGTAGTTCAGGCCTGTGATCTCAGCTGCTCGGGACGCTGAGGCAGGAGGATTCCAAGTTGTAAACTTAGTAAGACACTATCTCAAAAATGAAAAATAAGCCACTTGTGGTGGCACATGCCTGTAATCTAGCATTAGAGGCTGAAGTAGGAGGATTGCTGCAAGTTCAAGGCCAACCTGGGCAGCACAGTTCAAGGCCAGCCTGAACTGCATAGCAAAACTCCGTCTCAGAAAACCAAAAATATAACAAATAAAAAAATAAAGAGGGTGAGAAATGTAGCTCAGTGGTGGCGCACCCTTGAATTTGATACCAAGTACCACAATAAATAAACACATCTTTGTAATTATCTCAGTTATAGTGATAGAAATCTAACTAACATACCGGTCCAGTCTCCATTTTCTTCTGCATGGATGTCACAGTTGCCTCTCTCCCACTCCTGCTCCTTCCTATCCCTGCCCCACTGTGTTTCTGCTTGTAGCTAGAGGGAACCTGGGCACCTCTGAGGCAGACAGGGGCCTGGCACCTCAACCCTGCCCTGGCTGTACCTCATTCTAGTTAAAAGCAAAGTCCTCACTATGACCATAAGCCAACCTCTGTCTGGTCCCTATCACTCTCTGACTGCATCTTCTCCTCCCTTAACTCCCCACTCACTGGCTCATTCAGTTCCAGAAACACAGGCCTCCCCATGTAGCTCCAACAAAGCGGGCACCACCCTAGGCTCTTGTTTGAACTCGCTGCTTCCCCTGCTTGGTGTGCTCCTCCCCGGATGTCCACAGTTGCACACCTCCTTCCCTGCACCCCTGTTCTTTTTTTTACTATTTATTTTCTTCCATGCTTCTTATGCCTACCATCTACCTTACCACTTATTTTACTTATTTATACGTTCCCCCGGAGGAATACAAACCCTTCCACAACAAGAGATCAAATCTGGTAGGCCATAGAATGCTGCTGGCCACAGAAAGATTTCCTGAAGCCTTCCTTGGCACTTCTTTCTAAAAACTTCAAATTGCCATGACTTGGTGCACCTCCCTTCCCTGCTTTGTATCTTCCTCCTTGGCATCAGACATAATTGTGTTTCCTAGTGATGGTTCACTGTCCATCTCCTTCATGAGAATGTGAGCTCCTACAGGACAGGGCCTTGCTCACTACTGTGTCCCCAGTGCTGAGATTAAGGCCTGGTACATGGAAGGTACTTGATAAATACGTATTAAATGAATGAATGAACAAGAGAACATAAGTTGAGCCAGGTCACAGGGTGGCTGTGGGTTACTTGAAGCCTACACCACTGAAGGCAGTGAGAGGGGCAGGCTGGTGAGTTGCTAACTTACCGTAGTAGGTTTGGTGCCCAGACGATGGCCAGGTTGCGAGCATGCATGCTGGTGTTGGCACTGTGTCTTGCCATGCGGGCCAGGTGCCTCAGCAGGTACTCCAAAGTCCTGAGGTTGGGAGAAGAGAGGGACAAGCTGAGCCTCCACTCCTCTGGCACCCCACCCCCAGCCCTTCCCTGACCCTCACGGTTTACCTGTAGTGTGGCGGGGGCAGCTGCTGGATGACATCATGGACTCGCACCAGGCGTTCTTCCTCTCCTGGGACTGACATGGCCTCCTGAGATTGTGGACAGCCATGATAGGCCTGGGCCCGATGTGCCCCACACCCTCCAACCTTGCCAGCACCTTTACTCACACTGAACTTCCCATAGAGCTGATAGGTGAGCAAGGGGTTTGGCAGCTCTCGGAAGTAGAGCTTGCAAAGGGAGGACACACTGTGGATGTCCTGCAGGAAGGCAGGGCCAGACAGTTCAGGAATCCTCTCGCTGTCAAACTCATGCCTGAGACCACCAAGTCCAGAGGAAGAAAGTTCGGGTCAGACGGAGCCACCTGGCCATGTTCCATTACCCCCACCCCAATTCCCAAGTACCCACAAGTGGATATAACCCTCTTCCCCAGGCCTTGGGCTGGGCTATCCAAAGGGGGAACTTTAGTGAACCACCCAAAAGTCTACCTGGTAAAGACAAGAGTGTCTCGTTCCAAAAGTGGAAATTGAGGTTCTGGTGGGAGATATCTCTGCCTATAGTATACAAGGCTGTCTTGATTACAGAGTGTAACTACACTCCCACCTAGAAGTTGTATCATTCTTCCAGCTTTAAGAGATTGCTGGAAAATGTGGATATGATCCCAGGTACCCTTGCTCGCAACCCTCTTGCGGGCCCTGCTTTCAGGTAACGCTCCTCTCCCTCACTGCCTTCGTGCTCTCACCTCATGACCCTGGCAGCCCAGTGTTCCTGTCCCACCCTTCCCACCTCTAGATTCTCATGTACTCTGTTCCTCCTTGCCTCAGAACCCTCTTGGGGTCCCCTCATTTGGAGTAAAGACCCCAGTGCTAACAGTCATCAAAAAGGCCCTTCACCCTGCCCCAAGGACTCTCAACGTCATCTCTTGCTGTTTCCCTTTGCACCAGCTACTCCCTCTGCTGTGACTAGGTGTCCACACCCACAGGGATTGCTCCCTCCTCCAGGGCTCTTCCCCATGAGGCCTCTCTGCCCCTGCTACTTAAAACTGCACCTGAAGCTGGGCCTAGTGGCACCATCCTGTAATCCCAGCACTTGCGAGACTAAGACAGGAGGATCGCTGCAACTTTGAGGCCAGACTGGGCTACATAGTAAATTCAAGGCCAGCCTGAACTACATAGTGAGACTCTGCCTCAAAGGAAGATCTCTGTGAGTTCAAGGCCAGCCTAGGCCACACAGTGAGTTCAAGGTCAGTCTGAACTACCTAGTGAGACCCTATCACAAAACAACAACACACACAAAAACGTGTAGTCCTCCTTCCTGGTTATCATGATTCTCCTTATCCCAGTCTACTTTTCTCCATGACACTTGTCACTTTCTAGTAAACAATTATTTTCTTGTTTCTCTCTCCCTCTAGCATGTGAGCTCCGGGAGGGCAGGAGTTTCCAGTTATCTCATTAACCACTGTGTCCCCCGTTCCCAATATTAGTGCTTGGTATGTAACAGGTGCTCATAGTGGAGGTGGGTCCCACTGCTTAGTATGCTAACTACTCCCACCTTCCAGGCCTTAGGTGTCACCTCCTCAAGGAAGCCCTCCCTTGGCACAAGCCTGTAATCCCAACACTCAGGAGATTAAAATGAGGATTGCTGTGAGTCCAATGCCAGCCTGGACTACATAGTGAGTTTGAGGCCAGCCTGGACTACACAGCAAGACCTTGACTCAAAAAAAA